CTCAGTACATGTTACTCACTATTGTTATTTATTTAGAAATGGAAGTAAGAGTGGTTGGAAGGATTGAATAGTGTATTGAATGTGGAAATGTTTTAATAAATTGTAAAGCATACAAGAAAGTCTTTGTTACATCATTCAGTGGTTGAGCCCTCATGATTCCCAGAATCCATTCACAACTGCAGATCATATTGCTCATTTTTGGAGCAAATTCCGACCAGTTTAATAAAAGGTCTATCCTCTGACCCTACTGACATGCCTACTTTTGAGTGTGGCTTGCGGACCTTTCACCTGGAGTCTGGAGCCATCTCCCGGCAACAATGGCATGCTTTCATTTAATCTTCACACTAACCCTAGTTACAAGTAGCAATACTGTTACCAGAAATCCAGGTGTTTTACCCAAGCGCAGCCCAGCCATTTATGGGGACTTTTATTACAACGGGACAGAAACAATGTGTCCCCTGTCTTTGTGGCATCCTGTTTGATATCAGCATCTATGGATACATATACCTTTCACTTTGTAATTCACGCTTCAGGAAGTCATATGTCACTATTTTACTTTATCTCAGTGTGACCACTTAAAGTACCTGTTGATCATGAGCAAGCGAACAGAATAAGGTTTTTGAACTCTTAGGGCAGTCTTAGGCTGTCTTTGTTGGTTAATTAGCTTTTACTCAGGAACAGGGAGGTAAATAAGATTCTCAGCATTATCTGGCCTTTCCAGGAAACATTGACATTCAACCTATGTGGCTTTGAGCAATGTAGCAGGCTATAAAAATTCCAAAGAAACTGAATTAAGCACCTTAAGCTAACTGCATTTTGTAAAGGGGATTTTGTATTTAAGCTTAAGTGAAATAACTTGGATTACAATAGCAAGGTTTAAAGGAGGCGAGTAACATCTGGGAACTCGAACTTCAAAGCCCGGGTCATCATGTGCTGCAGCTCTTGCTTCTGGAGCTCTAGCCATTGCTAAACTCAGAATCCTACTGGAATTGTCTGAACGCTGTAAGACCAGCACAGTGCAGGGCACTGAGTAGGTGCTAAAAGATCCTTCCCGTTCTTTGAAAGTGCCACAGATTTGACCATATTGCCCGTTGTGGTAGTTACATAATCTGGTGTCAATCTGAGACTATTATGAGTGAAGGGGTGGAGTTTAGCCTGTCAATTGGGTCTCCGCTTGACGACCTCATTTGGAGGCACTACGGGGATAAATAGCTCACGTGGGGGGTAGGGGGGAAGGACACACATTCTCCCTGCGAGACATTTCTGTTGACCAGCCACATGGAGCTGCACTGATTGAGCCAGAGCCCTGGAGCTGGAGCAGTCACTGGAGACCCACGTCAGCGCTGAGATGCTTCCACCTCCACTGGATCCGCAAGACTTTCCATACACTGGGCTGTGATCTTCCTGCATTCTGCATCATTGCGTGTGTTGTGTTAGTCTGAAGAGGAATTTAGACTGGTGTCGGACATATGGGTTGATAGCGGGTTTATGGACTTGGTCTGGACTGGGCTGGGATATTTTCTCAATGTACCATTACTTTTTATATAAAGCTCTTTGCGATACACATGAGGGTCTCTGAATTTGTTTCTCTAGCCGACCCAGACTAACACCCATCGATACACCGTCGCAATTCTATTCCGAGCTTTTCCACACTCACAACTCTCCTCGAGTCTTCCAAATCTAGCTATCGAGGGCTTTTTCAAGTTGACTCTTGAATTTATATGTGAAATTGGGAATGAGGTAGGCTTTAAAGACCCCAAGCAGTGGCACATGGGACAAGAGTCAAGAAACCCCCAAACCAAACCCATTGCCACCTAGCCTATCCCAACCCTATAAGGCAGAGTAGAAATGCTCAGTAAAGTTTCTCACGTTGTAAATCTTCATGGGAGCGTCAGCCTCTTCTTCCCTCAGAGCGGCTAGTTTGAGGCACCGACCTAGCCGTAACACCACAGGGGCTTGTTTTAACTTGTGTCATAGGGAAGAGAGCGGCAACTGGCTTTAAGGCGCTGGGGCCGCTTTGAAAGGACGTCAAAAACCCGGGAAAAGTACCAGACAGAGGCCTGGGACCCCTTACTGTGCCAGGGCAGAAGCCGCCCATCCGGCCGGCCAGTCAGAGGTCCCCGCCCCCTGACGCCCTCGGAGACTCGGCGCTCCACCAGGCATCTCCTAGCCCGACTTCCGGTTTCGGTGACGCCGGCGCAGGCGCGTCTGCCGAGCACCGAGTGAATGATGGCAAATGGCGGCCGCAATAGTGTGAGGTACTGTGAAGGCCCAGAGACCCGAGCTGGGGACTAGACTGGCGTGCGCGCCCGTGGAACCGCAGCTTGTTCCAAAAGCTCGATGGGGCCCGATGGCGGGCACGCAGCTTCTCTCGGGATCGCAGACGGGCAGGCCGTGCGAGTGTGGGATGTGTCTGGGTGTGTTGGGTGTGACATGCGTGGTGGGAGATGTGGCATTCAAGCCGTGCGGTTTGCTTGTGTTTGTGTTGATCGGGCTGTGTGTGGTGATGCGGGGTGTGTACTGTTTTGCTGGGCCACGCGACCGAGAAGTGGGTGGTTGTCAACAGAATGTTGGTGTTTATGCCGCTGGTTGTGTGTGAGAGAGGCGTCGGTGTTCCGAGTTGGTGTGGAATTGTTCGTGGTGCTTGCGCTGTGTGCCTGCGAAGTGTGGTGTCATGCCTGTTGCTTCATGGGGCTTGGGTCTCTCATGATGTCTGTGGTGGTGTGCCGTGTGCTTTATCATGTTAGTGGGTCAGTGGGTGTATCCAGTAGGGTGGCGTTCAAGCAGGACACATCAGCTGCAGGTTACTTACATTTTTTTAATCTTCTTCTTCTGACCTGGTTTGGGGTTCCGGAGCTTGCATACGTTCAGTTAGGGTCGTGGGGGGGCGGTGTCCAGTTTGGTTATGTGATTTTAGGGTTTGTTCATTCATTGATTCATGGACTGTGCTTCTACTTTGAGCGTGCCTGGGACTGTGCTAAACTCTGGGAATGTGATGGGGGGCGGGGGAGGGCCCCCCAGATTGCCCTCACAGAGTTTACAGCCTTGTATGTTTAGTCACTTTACATATGTCCATATGCTTACAGACTGAGATGAGTGTTGTAAAGGAGAAACCAGGGTGTTGACAGATGGAGGCGGGCCTCCAGTTAGAGAAGGCTGCCTTGAGGAAGTGAAGTTTGGACTGAGATGTGAAGATGTGTGGTGGGGTGGGGGTGTTATGTGTAAGTGTTTGGGAAAGGAAGGCAGCTGTCAGAATCAGCGTGTCAGAAGATTCGCTGGCTGTAGAGGGAAGGAGTCAGACTTCGGACTACTCTTACTGATCACCTTGAAAAAAGGCTGGGAATGAAATGCTGCCTGCTCTTGTGCCAACCCTATGATCAGTTGTGGATCAGACCATTGTGATGCATTGGGCTCTCATTGGCTAATATTTGGAATCAGGCTGGGCCTTTCCTCTTAGTCTGCCTTAGTCTGGCATCTGTTCAGCATCACAACACACTAGGCTTCACTGTCAGATGGGTATGGGGTACACATGAGGTACAGTGACCAGGAATCGAACCCAGATCCCCTCATTGAAGGGGAGAATTCTACTGAATTCTACTGAATTACCAGTGCCTCTTAGCAACAGGGAAAAGCTGGGGCCTTAGGTCTTCAGTTGTATGTTTTGGGTCACTCTTCTGCTTTGACCAGGAACTCTGGTAGTGTAGTGGGTTATTCTTTGGGCAATGCAGTAGGTTATTCGTTGGGCTGTGAACAGCAAGGTCAGTTTAAAACCAGCAGCCACTCAGGAGAAAGATGAGACTTTCTACTCCTATAAAGAATTGCAGTCTTGGAAATCCACAGGGGCAGTGGGGATCTGTCCAGGATCACTATGAGTCAGAATTGACTCGATGGCAATGAGTTTGGTTTGGTGTCCTTCCACTTTGGGGACCAAGTGGTCCCTTTAAACAGTCCTGTGAACAAGTCTGTTCAAAGGTGAGGGTCACACCTTGCCCCACATTGTAAACAGGGTTTGTAGCGAGAGGCTCTGGAGGAGAAATTTTTGTGGAGTGCTACGCTTTCGTGGAATGATTTTGTTCAGATTCTTCCTACTTCTATGAGATTTTCTGAAATGACCTTAGAAGTGACTTTACCATGGCCCTTTAAGCCAGAATGTAATTTATTAAACCTTGAAATCCTTTCCGCCCCCCACCCCCCATTTTTGAAGCAATAAGAACATTAGGTTTCCTGCTCAACTGACACTTACTGGTTTATAAAATCGAATATGCTCATCGGTGAGAAAATGCCCTATAAATATGACCCAAAGTATACTTTCTTTTCATTAGCAGGTTTTATAATGCTCCTCCTTGGCCTGGGGTTGGATTTATTTGTTTGGTTTGATTCTTTGCTTATTGGTTGGTGTTTTAGGGTAAGCACTGCCTTTTTCATCTTTGCATTCCTAGTACAGATGCTTTGAAAGTAACAAGAACTCAATGCATGTAGCTTAATGACTAAGTGATAAGGTAAAGAGAATTGTATAAAAACTTCCATCTGTTGATGAATACTATGGAAAATTTCTCTGGCCACAGTGGTGTACAGATGATGAAGTGGGACCATTTGGCATTGTGACGAGAGTTGCCTTGGTGTTGTCTTTGCTCTTGAAGGAAGTGTTTGCTCCTTCAGAGAAAGTCGTCCTCCTGCTTCACTGAGTTTCCTTTGCCCAGTGACTGCGCTCAAACCTTAGAAGACTTTATGTCTTGGTCTAAAGACTGAAGAAAGTACCGTATATACTCAAGTATAAGCCAACCCAAATATCAGTTGAAGCACCTAATTTTACCACAAAAACTGCATTAAAAATGTGCTGGAAAAACTCGATTTATACTCGAATACATACAGTAACTTGCTTTCAGAAAGTTGCAGTTCAGAACAAACATTAAAGACCCTTGCTGAATTGTAAAAAAAGTAATACTAATGAATTTTCAATTTGTCTGAATTGGCCTTTTCCCCCTTCTTTACTTTCTCAGGGCTCCTACAGCTCCAGAGAGGACACCTCATCCAAGGTCAAGATGAGACTTCCCTATCGCCAGGGTGCTGTCTGGTTAAGCTAACCCTTCAGGAACCCTAGCCCCTCTTGGCAGAATCTCATTGACTCTTGGCATGATGCCACGACCTTGTGGTGGTTGAAAGGGCACTGCCATGGCTTCCCTGGATGACCCAGGGGAAGTGAGGGAGGGCTTCCTTTGCCCTCTGTGCCTGAAGGACCTGCAGTCTTTCTATCAGCTGCAGTCACATTACGAGGAAGAGCACTCAGGGGAAGATCGTGATGTCAAAGGACATATTAAAAGTAAGAGATGCATGGGATGGTTTTCATAGTTTTCTTGTTGCCACTAGAATACGATAATCACATACATTAGTATAATAGTAACAAGCATATATCTAATGTTCACCACGTGGCAGGCATTGTTCAAAGTTTTTCCAATTTATTAATTTGATCTTTACTGTAGTATCTGATTATGAGCCTCATTGTACTGATGAGGATATAGACAAGGAGAGATTAGACAAATTGCCTAAAGTCACACGATGAGGCAGAGGCATTGAACTTTCCGCCGCCTCTTGCTAGACTGCTTGGAGACTGTGAGCGTGGAATCTCTTTCCTTTGCTATTGAATTGGAAGCACCTTGTGAATTCATGTACCAATCATAAATTCAAGCCTTCATGACCTTTCCAAACTACTTTGCTTTGCACCCCAGGAAAAAGAAGACCGCATCATTGAAAAGCAGAGAGAAACAACCCCAAAAGTTAACACTTGGCTTTTGAGCTTCCAAAGGCTCCAATCTTGGAGAATTAGGGACAGAATTGTTTCTTTTTAAAGTAGACTATTTTTATAGGAGGATCCCTGGTGGTAAAGTGGTTATATGTTGGACTGTGATCCTCACAATCAGCAGTTCGAGACTACCAGCAGCTCCACTGGAGAAAGGCTGGGTTTTCTACTTCCGTCAACAGTGACAGTCTCAGAAACCCAGGTTTCTGAGTCAGCATGTCTTGATGGCAGTGAGTGCGATTTTTATAGAGCAGTTTTAGATATACAGAAAATATTTTAACAGAAAGTGGGGGTGTTTCAGTGTACTCCATCACCCCACCCCATCATCCTGACCCAGAAATTGGCGGCACTGGGCCTGGAACCTAGAGCTTATATCATCTTCAAATTCAGTACTTCTGTTTCCATAGTTTAGGTCCCCGCCATCCATCACAGCATTTATTACAGTTTTCTGAGCAAAAGGAAGTGGGGGTGGGAGGAGAGGGTTGGGGGCTATTGATTACCTCCAGTTGTTTCCTTGATTTTCAGTGAGCGCCTAGTCGTCGTGTCAGCTGCACTGTGCTATATACTGTGGTTTCACTAAGACTGATGGCTCCGGAGGGTTGAGGTTAGAGAATCCCACTTGGTGCCTGTGATGGGTTTTCTTTAAGAATAAGAAAGAATGGAAATCTATTTACAGATCCTAGAATGGGCTGCTAATGTAAAGGCTGGTCATTGGCACCTACTCGGCAGCACCACACAAGAATGGCCTGGCTTTCTGCTTCTGTAGAGATGACAGCCAGGAGCGCTCTCACCCACAGTTCTATTCTGTAGCATAAGGGGCTCGATGGCAATGCGTTTGGTGTTGTTTTTGGTTAGAATGGAAAGAATACCGTTTGAGGGGAGTAAGTTAAATCTGTGGTTGAATACTAGTTTTCCCCATTAAGTAGCCATCTGACTTTGGAAAAGGATTTATTCTTACTTTATACTGTCAATCTTTTGATGCAGTTATAATTGAGAAAGAAACTTGAAAGCAGAAGATTTCCGCCCGTTTTTGTTGTTGTTGTTTTTACATCTTTACTTCAGAAGAATTAAGTCTTTATTCAGCATTCTTTTTGCACCCTCTGTAGTAATTTCTTTAGTCAGGAAGTAATTCTTGCTGATGTCATAGTTTCTGTGTTTCCAAATCAGGAAAGTCAAGTTTTAAAGGCTGACACCCAAGATTTTTTTCAAAGGTCTACACAAGCAAATCACTTCTCCATTTGATCTCTTTGCTAGTTTTAAGCGAGGGAAATGTTCAAGTCAAAAGAGCTAGGATTTTTGTGAGACTTGTTTTTAAAAGATGAACTTGGGCCTAAAACCTCAAGAAATGCCCTGTCAGTGAGTTCTGTGCTTGGCCCTGCTTCACCTTCAGTTTCGTAAGTGGAAGGAAGAAAGGGTAGTTGAAAATTAACTATGGCTTCCACTTTGTGTTTTAAAGAATACATGGGATTGTTCTTTTTTTGTTTTGTTTTTTAATAGGATTGTTCTTAATTGGCCCCCTTTTTGGAGCTACACCCATGTTAGGAAGTTGCTGGGTAGTTTTTCTGACACACCTAACAGTGACTAAATGTTTAATTCAGCAGTTGTGTGGTGTCTGCAAAAAGCAATCAGTGTTTGCTCATTTCAGTTTCCTGTCTGCTAGATTCCCACCAGGCTATTTCCTCTTCCCTGTTGTTCAGAAATTCTAATGCGTTTTCCAAGGAGCCCCTCAGTTCTGGTAATCAGCCCTCATGGAGTTGGCTCCCACTCCTGTCTATCCTTAAGCATCAGTGGAACTGTGCTCCATAGTGTTTGGTGGCAGATTTTTGGAAGCAAGATGGCTCGGTCTTTCTTTCAAAGTGTGCGGGCAGACTCAAATTGCAGCCTTTCATTTAGCAGCCAAGCACTGAACCTTTTGCACCACTTAAACCAAAAAATCAAAATCCAACTCACTGCCACCCAGTCGATGCCGACTCATAGCGACCCTCCAGGACAGAGTAGAACTGCCCCTGTGAGCTTCCAAGACTGTAATTCGGGCAGCAGAAAGCCCAGCCTTGCTCCTGCAGATTGTAGCTCATTGCTTAACTACTATGCTACCAGGAATCCTCTGCACCACTTAGGGGCACCGCAATTCTAGTAGTTTCCATTTTTCCTGTTGTTGGAGAAAACCATCCCTGGGTGGCAGATAATCAAGGAGTTCACTTTATCCGCTCTTATAGGCATTCCTACAATCTTAACCATTTCAGTCCCTGCCAGCCATTTACCTAAGCTTTGGGGGAAGTGGCATTAATAATTCAAGGGACAGCATTTCCAAGTCATAGAAGCTTGATGAAGTGTTGATCTACTAAATGCAAAAGAAATTATATCATTTTGCATTTGATTTAGTGCATCAGATTTGATATTTTCTACTAGATTCTAGCACCAAAAAGAGATAGCAGTCACTTAAGATTTAAGAAGGTTAATGAATGAGTAACTTAGACTTGAGATTTTTAAACCCCCTGAATCCCATCCTAGAGGTAAGTTTTATATATGAGTCCATCCAAACAAAAAATCCCACTGCTTTCAAGTCAGTTCCAACTGATATCAACCCTTTGTGGGGTTTCCGAGGTTGCAGATCTTAAGGAGAGCAGAGAGCTCTGTTTCTCCCAGGGAGCAGCTGATGGCTTTCAGCTGCCAACCTGTGGTTAGCAACCCAATGCTTAACCGTGCCACTAGGGACCCTTCTGAGTCCCTAGAGTAATTACACAGTACTGTAGGCTGTGATAGGAGCCCCCGTGCTGTCTTAGGTGACGAGATGGGCTGCTAACCCAAGGTTGGCAGTTCAAAACCACCAGCCCACTTCTTAGGAGAAAGACAAGGCTTTCTCTTCCCATAAAGAGTTACAGCCCGGGGAGGGAGGGGAAAAATGAGGACCTAATGTTGGG